GGTACAGTAAGCTCACAGGGTGGTGCCGGGAGGTCGGAGGACAGGTGAGAGGGACTGCAACTAATGAACTCTCACCCTTTTTTGTGTGGAAGGAGCTGGAAAGCTGGCTTCCCATTTGAGCATAAGGTGTCAAAGCAGTGGAAAACACTGTTTTAAAATAAAGGTGCTACGACTGACACTCAAACGCTGTGCGGGTCCTGATCATTTCACAAGTAGTATTTCAGCATCATTCCTAGTTTTAGAAATATTGTGCAAATGGAAAAAAAAAACAGTCCTGCATATTTGTTTTATATGGAGTGAAGGACATATCCTTGTCAAAAATGACTCAAAGACTCCTCACAGGAGGCAATGGTAATACCATCTAGAGTAAGCATTGGGTTGGATACCATGTTTCTAAGATTTTTAGGACAATGTACAATAACCTCACTTTGATCCAAATTTGGAATTAGGAAATTAGAGGTCATCCAGGTCTTTATCTCTTAAAGACATTCCTACAGGTCACCTAGGAATGTCATAACATACGCCTAGATCGGCGTATGTTATGTGGCTTCATTCACAAATAAAGCTTGGTATCATCTGCATAGCAGTGAAATTGTATCCCAGGCCTTCTAATGATACTGTGTAAGGGAAGCATGTATAATGTAAACAGAATTGCTTTGAGCCCTGTGGAACTCCATGTATGATTACAGTAAGAGCAGAAGTCCCTCATATAGTCATCTCTGGCACACAGCTCTGACTATGTACCACATGCTGTTCAAACCAAAATGTGTGAGAGGCAGCCGGAGCTAAAATGCCTCGTTTCAGACAGCAAATGAATGGAGTGGATGCAAGTGGTTGAGAGAGATGATGCAATGTCCCAGACACGACAAACTAACATTTTATGGTCTGTGGCTCTTCTGATAGGTCTGAGACGATGTGGGCATTATTAGAGCCAAGCTTCACCTTTCTCACGTGGATTGAATCACAGCATTTTATCTAGTATTGTCTCTTTTTTCATAAGATTAACTTTGGATAATTACTCAGTGCATCTGCTTGTTTGATTTATGAGGAACACATTGTTTTCTTTTTCTTTTGTCATCTAGCTATTTTGTCTGTGTAATAATGTAAGGAATCATGATTCCCTGACTGCAAGATTTTCTGCAGAAAACAGGTACAGAAGAGGTTAAAGGGAAACTAAATAAAAAAAAGATCTAGGCCATCTATAAACTTGCAAGTCAACGATTAAAATCCAATTTAAAGTCAGACGTGTGCAAAAGTTAAAAAAACAAACAAACCCTCATGCCTTTATATTTTGCTTCAAAAAAGTCAAAAAATTCTTCTATATTTTTTTAAAAGTGCTCTTGAGTAGATGTTCTCCGGGGTTTCTGAAGGTACGCTTGTTTTCAATCCAGTCCTCATAACCAGCCATTTTCAGAGGTGTGTTTTTTTGCCTGTTGAACCACTTAACACTGACATTTGAATCATTCAAGCATAAAAAGGGTCTTAACTCAAAAGATGAACCAGGGTTGTGTTCAGTGGCTAATTTAGCTGATGGCCAATTTTAAGCAGCCTTTGATCAAAACATACAATTTGGCCCTATTTCTTAAGCTGAATCTGTGAAAAATACCAAATGTAAAACCATTCAACAGACATAAAAATATATTTTGGTGCCAACAAGTTGATTCCCAAAGAGGTATTAGCCAAAGACCTGGC